GGATCAAGAAACTTTGATGGCTAGAGGATCCAAGAAATGTAGGCATACCAATAGCCCATGTGGGTATGGAAAAAAATGAATATTTTTATGAGCTATTATTCTACAAGTGTGTATCCAAGCTGATCAATTCATCACACTTTCTCTGATGATAAGTGAATTGCACATTCAAATGAACTGCCATCACAACTGTGGACTTCCTAAATTATAGGACAAATTGAAGAGCATGATAAATACTTGTAGTCTAATGGTGTCAGTCGCATTAAAGCTGTGCTGTTGCATTTTACCATCAGCTTTCACATTTGTCTTCTTGGAGCCATGATTTGTTCTTCTGATTAAAGATGGATTTTCTCCTCCTCAGGCTGCATGTTCGCATTGGTATATGTGCACGTTTCTATTTTATAAAGTCATTTGAAACATAATCGTACTTTTGAAATCTTAACTGCATGTTTTGTTAAACCTATATTCCTGTTCTTTATTCAGCATCTATAATGGATTCATATTTCTGTCTTGTTGCTGTCCTAACTGCCCCTCAAAAACAAAACACCGAAACCTAATGTGTTCATTTCCAAAGCAAGCATGAGGATTGCACTCAGTACTAACTCTGCATGAATGGATAGTTGGCTTTCATATTTACATGTAATTGATTATGTGTCCCTTTTGGCTTTTAGATTCTACTGAAATGCATCCTCACTTGAAGGTAAAAACTTTAATACTTTTATCTTGAATTATTTTTTTTAATGTGGGTACTGGGAATTTAGCCTAGGACCTCATGCACTGCTAAGCAGGCACTCTGCCACTGAGCTAGACCCTCCCTCCCTTGAATTATTGCTACAGGTTGTATCAAATGTACATTATTAATCAGTTTGTTTCAAAAACCATTCAGCCTGCAGTTGGAGTGAAAGATTCTCTTCCTAATAAAACAGGAGGAATGAAGAATTTACAAACATTCAAATCAGGTAAATTTTGTAATACAAATTTAACTCTGAAATGAAGTACAGTCTTCTTATTCCTAATTCCTTTCATTTTTTCAAATTTAATTGAAAGATGACATAAATAAGGCAGATGTTATTATTGGCATCCATGATTAAAAAAATATATAAGCATAAGAAAAAGATTTTTTAAAATGTCAGCTTTGACTCAGATGTTTCTATTGATGCTGGGAGACACTGTAGTGCTCAGTTTGGAATCCCTATATTTCTTAGGGATTCTGAGAGATTGATTATTAGGTTCTAAGGTTTTTCCAGAGTTTTAAAATGCTTAACTGAATTCTGACCTTTACATAGGGTAAAGCTTCACTTGCTAACATGTCAGTCATATTTCACTTTAATTATTTCAGTGCTGTCACATTGATCATATTTATTTATTTCTGTATTTATTTATTAATGGAGGTCCTAGGGATTGAACCCAGGACCTTGTGCATGCTAAGCATGTGCTCTACCACTGAGCTGTTTCCCTACCCCGAAGATCTTAAGCCAACTGGATGTTTTGATTAGCAGTGTGTGTGGGGGGAGGGGGTGGTGTCTTTGATTATTAAAAATTATTAATATTTGGTAGACATGATCTTTTAAAACAATAACCCTGAAAGTTTTGGGGCTTAGGATTCTTTTTATACTATTAAAAATTATTGAGAATTCCAAAGAACTTTTAAGAGGTTTCTATCTATTGATGTTTAGTATTTTAGAAAATAAAACTGAAAGATTTAAAATACAAGCACACACAAACATTCCATTAGTCATTAGAGCTATGATGTTATCACATTTCATGTATCTGGAAACCTCCACTGCACACTTAATGGAGAATGAGAATGAAAATAGCATTCAGTATTATTGTGAAAATAGTTTTGACCTCGTGGACTCCCTAGATGGAGGGAACTTGGGGCTCCAGGGCTTCTCAGATGACACGTGAGAACTGCTGTTTTAAACAGGATTCATGGATGTGAAATGATAAAGGGACCCTTGTGATGAAATGGGCTTTAAAATTCACTTCTACATTTCTTACCTTTTTTTCTTTAACTTGTCTTAAAAAGTTTAAATCTGACAACTTAATTCTTTTAAAAAAAGGAAAACATTTTTGCTGCATATTTCCTGTCTCGTGGCACCCTGTACTCTTTGGGTCTAGTTTGTACCTAGACTTATCCTATTTTTATATGGAAAAAATTAGTCACTCAAGGCTATCCTTTCTTAAATAAATTTATGATGTTTATCCAAGCCTTAAGGAAAGAATTCTGAAGATATTGGTACATTGAGGAAAGACTGTCTCATTTAATTAAAGTAGTACCATTCAGTAAGTTTTCTTAAAGCCCATGTCTCTAGGACACAGTACTGCCATGCATATTTATAAGTCCAGTAAATGGCTGGTTAGACATACAGTTTGTTAATGAAAAAATTCGTATGTTGAAGAATCATAATTATTCATAAAGCTCTTATGGAATATAGACTGTTTAATAGAGAGTGTGAGTGAATCCAAATAAGTAATACTCGAGAATTAAAAGTAGAAAAAAGAGAGACAGTGGTTCCCTATGTGAACAGCAGTGACATGTAAAGTACAACCAGCTGGGAAGGAGCAGTGTGTCTGGGGGGAGAGGAGGATGTGGGGCTGCGGACGTGGGGCTGCTGCTCTGGAAAGAGAATTCGTACAAGTTAGTCAAGCTTGTATTGTTATTCACATTCTAATAAGTGGAAACTTTGTTTTTGGATTCTTCAGACTGGGATTCTACTAGTTTGAGACCCAATAATGTGGCTGGTCAAAGAACCAAGCACTTGAAAGTCGATAAATGTCTGCTGGTATCACAATCAGTGACCACAAACCAGTCAGCACCCACAGAACTGAGGCAGACGGCCCCGGTAGATAAAGACCAGATGAATATTGGAGCC